AGAGCGAGAGCGATGTTCACAGGGCAAGCGCGCAGATGTCTGTGATCCTATAGTAGCAACTGCAGTCAACCACGGCGGCTACCGCCCTCATGTGTACGCTCTCATGCATACTCTAGTAACTTCAACCGCACGGGAGCCGCGGCGGTCGAAGGGAAATCTACGACCGCCGCGGTTTGTTGCGGTTGATTGGAAGTGGGCGGTTGCATGTGAACGGTCCCATTTGCTCCTTTGTACTTTCAACCGCCGCGGTTCCCGCGCAATGGCAACCGCGGCGGCTGCCGCCCTCATGTGTACAGGACCTAAGGGCACTAGTAGCTCTACTTATGTTGCCAAGTTAGCATTTAACTTTCTTTTCTCTTGATTTAATATAATCTTATTCAATATATAATTTAAGAGTTACTTTTTGGGTACCTAATTAATTGTGGTATTGATTGACTTGATTTTAAGGATTTTTAATTCTTTTCATTCATTAGCCTTCAAAATCAATCGTTTTAGGATTTTAATCTCTTGCAGTAGGTCAATATGAAAGACTTACTGTATGACATGATTTAAGGCCCTATAAAAAATAATACCCACGTACAGCTGTAGGCCTACTGATACCAATAATAGATAATTATTTATTTATGATGATGTAACAAATAATGTAAGTGTGAGGTTATTATACTTTAAGGAGGCAGGGAATGAATTATACAAATTGCATGGTGGAAACATATTATTTTATTTTCTTCTTGCTTGCAGTCTTGAAGCCCCTAAACTTAAAACCCCCTAAACAGGCCCTAAACTTGTGATATGTTAATTGATTTGTTTATGGTCTTTTTATGTTAAGTTCCATTCAAATTTGTTGTAATTTAGTTATTTCAACAATTATTAAAATTAGTATGAATGTCTTTGATAAAAAAAATATTTTCTTACTAGCTGTTGTACCCGTGCTTTGCAACGGGAAGAGAACACAAAACAGAAACCTTTTAATCTTTACATCTGTTGCATATAATAGTTACACATCCGCAAACGCTTTTAGAAACAAAATTCAACTTTTATGGCCTTAATAGAAACGTTTAAGTTATGACTTTTAAATCTGGTAAGTAGTGGATACCACCATTTTGGTTTTTATTAATTTAATTTTAAATATTGTGTAGGCTAATATGAGAAAACTGACCAAATCTTCTGATAAAACTTTGACATTCATGATTTACCTTCATCTCCCTTAAATACATATATTTTAATTTATTATTGTCATTTTAAATTTCAATTTTGAAGTTGCAAAAATACTAATTATTAAATTAAAATTAATTTTTATTTATTTCACTCTTCTTTATATTGAATCACGAATCCTTTCATCTTCAGTTACTCCACTCACAATAAATTATTAGCAAAACTAAGTCAGCTGTTAAACTTTAGAAATATTGCTGTGCCTTATAAATACAGTCTTTTGAAATATTAAAGAAACTATATCTAGGTACTATAAAAAATGTTTAACAAATAATTTAGCATTAAAGACAGCAGGCAAACCTAATATGATTATCAAAGCATCGCGGTTTTGTAGTAAAACACTTAATGTTTTTAAACAGTCGTAATTATCCCTTTGGTTAGTAAGACATCATACAATGCAAATGTATTATACAAGCAATTTTCAATAGCATTGAAATCGGAGGAAATCGTAGGAGCCATTTTTTAAAATCATATCGTGCGCAATCTTTACTCATATTATAGTATATATTAGTAACCAAGATGTGACATTAAAAAATACTTTAAAACAACTGCCCAACAAACAACTAATTTCTACTAAAACTAACTTTATTTTCTATCAGTTAGTTTTTCAACTAACTAATAACTTCTATCAGTTACTTTTTAAACTAACTAACTTATAACTTCTATCAGTTACTTTTTACGGGACTAACTTATAACTTCTTACTAGTTAGAATGTTTGACTAACTTTCCCAACTATGCTAACTACAACAGTTTATCATTCTCCAAGGATAACTTGAGAATTTTTCATTTACAGTTTTTGGAATTTGTACAATATTAATTTGAAAAGGGTTAAACTCGCGTCACAACATTCATTTTAGGCTAGGCCTATTCTATAAATGTTTTAAGTTAATAACAAAGATATACAAATTACAAAAGGTATTTTATTGAAACAAATGAACAAACATGCAACAAAATTTAAAAGGCTAAGTTACGTTTAATGAAAGGACTGACAATGTAGTGTGGGCTGAAATTAAAATAAAATAGGAGATAAGTTTTAAATAATGGTTCAAATTTACAATAGTATAATTTAGATGTGCTATATGTCTCAGGGTAGGGTGTCATGCTGGCTTGAATGCTAAGAATTAATAAATCAAATAATGTCCAAATAATTAATGTGTTAAACTTACAAAATCCCAACGATGAAAATTAAATTTTGAGGTTGTCCAAAAGGTGCCTAAGTCCAATGTGCACTGAATTTAAAAGAAAAGTTTATACTTAAATTTGAAAAATAATGTTGGAGTTGAGTCTTCTTGAGGTTGACTGCAATATAATTTTAATATAAACTGGTTTCTCTTGATGAAATTAATTAATTTAACTTAGATGAAATCTGGACTCCTTCTTTTAACAGTTTCAACTTTTAACTATGGCTTCCCTCTCTTCTCAGTCTTTTTCAATTTGAATGTTCACATGGGTCTATTGTTGAACACATAGAACACTGCTTACATGAATTTTGATTCGTTAAGGACTAATTTTGAAATTATATTATAAGAAATGTTCATGTATTGCAATTCTCTTACATATTTAATAAATAACTAAGTTGTGGGCTTTGTAAAAAAAATATATAAGCTATGGAATGAATATTATTGATGATTAATTGAACATGGATTAATGAAATTGTATAAATAAATTTAATGAATACTAGGTCAGCCTTTCTGAGGAGTGATTAATAACAAAGGCGTATGAACAAAAGTTAACATATTTTAAGAAAATTAATACTAAATAATGAATAAAGAAATGAAATATTACAAGGGGGTGCTTTTGGCCATCTGGATACCTCAAAACTATAAAGTAAATCGGTCCCAGGTCCAGGTCTTACCTTGAGACCTACCGCAATAGCTTATTTATTTCCTATGTGGAAAGTTCGCTAAAAAAAATTGTATCTTACATGGAACTCCCATAGTTTGAGATTAAATTGGATGACATAAAAAAAGTTATGATATGAATGTTCGACACGATCTTCATCAAGTTGTTATTTTCATTGTTGCCCAATTGAAACTGCCTTGTGATACAAGATTGTGAAACAGGAATTTCAAACTTCCATAACTTTTATACCTTACCTTACCCTCTGGCGCTACAGCCCACGATGAGCCTTGGCCTCCATCACAATTTGTCTCCAAATTCTCTATTTCTGGCTCTCTGTCTCCAATTCCCAATTCTCAGAATTCTCAAATCCTGCTCAACATCCTGCAGCCATCTTCTCCTTGGACTCTCTTTCTTGTTCCGTACATTTGACCATCTAGTAATTTTATAGGCATTCTTTCATTACCCAACCCATTCTCACTACTAACCATCTTAGCCTCATTGATTTTATCACCCTAACTACATTCTCTCCATGGATTAGATCATCCAGCTTCTTATTATTTCTTATTTTATATTTCTCCCCTTCTTTAAGGTTTTATACAAATTTAATTTATTTTGTCTGCTTAACAACCTTGATTTTAGAAGTTTCTAGTGAGCAAAATAGACTCTGTTACCACTCATTATCCGGTTTTGGATTTCACTGCTTATTTTGTTTTTATTGTTTATGGATGACCCAAGATATGTAAACTCTGTTACATTTTGAAATTTTCTATTTCCAATGGGCATGCTCTTCGCATCTCTTCTGACTGTGATATCTTTAAATATTTTGTTTTACCTTCGTTTAGGCACAGTCCCATCTTTGAGGTCTCTTCATTTAGTTTCACAAATGTCTCCTTCAGCACTTTTATATTTCTAGCTGAGATGACAATGTCATCCGCATATGCTTCCAATTGTCTCATCCTATGAATAACTTATTCACTAGGCCTACAACTTATTGTAATACATAACTATATTGTTACACTATATTGTAATACACTATATCTTGGGAATAACTTATTGTATGGTTTTTTTTTTATTAATTGTTACTCACTGTTGTTATTCATTTATTGTTACCGGTACCTACTTGTTATTTATTTTAAGAATATTTATTTATTGTTACTCTATTGCACTCAATTTTTGTTTCTTGTTATTTAGAGTATTAACTTGTTCAACAGCCGTCCACATATATTTACTCTTGATATATACGGTAGTTGCTTTGTTACTGTTAAGCATGCTCAAAAATGTACTTTCACTGTATTGGTCATAACAGTTTGGTGAATAAATAAATAACACTTCCTTCAATACCTACTTCACAAATAGCCGATTGCAAAGCCAGATTAAACAAAACAGCGGAAAGGGCATCTCCTTGCCTAACTCCTGTTGTTATTTCAAACAACCTTTCCTTTTGAGTTTTCCCTACTGATTTGAGTAAGGCTTACGATTTTCTTTGGAACACCCATCTTTGAGCATCAGTTTGAGTCTTTCTCTGTTTATGCTATCAAAGGCTGGACTATAATTGATAAATATAGTGGGCAAGTCAATGTCAAACTCGGAACATTTTTCTAGGGTTTGCCTCATTATGAGTATTTGGTCAATTGTACTTCTGCCAACCCTAAAGCCACATCAATATTCTCCTATGATGTCTTCTGCATACTGGCTTTAATCTTTTCAACAAAATTTTTGAGAATATCTTGTACCCCTTAACTCAGCAATTTTATTCCACTGTAATTTAGACAAACTGTCTTGTCAAAATCATCACTTTTATACTTGGCTTAAAGTTCCTACCTTGTATGGTCGCAATTTCAATGATAAGTAAAGTAAGTATTATAAGCCTACATAAGAACTAATCATTTATGCCTACTTAGCGATTCATCCACTCATCACTATTATAAATAAATTGTTTTTGATTCCAGAAGCCATGGTGCGGATGAATGTTCTCAGTGATGCCCTAAAGTCTATCAACAATGCAGAGAAGAGAGGCAAACGCCAAGTTCTCATTAGGCCATGCTCTAAGGTCATTGTCAAATTCTTGACAGTAATGATGAAGCATGGTAAGTAAACGGATATTTTCCAAAAAGTGGTAGAAGATGTTCATACTCTAGAACCTTATTTATCCAGGGTAATTGGGGGAAGGAAGACCACAAAACTGAAAACCAACGGTTAATCTAACATGACAAAAACATATAAAACCACCTTTAATTACTGTATAATTAATTAATATAATTAGGTAAATGTGATAATTTGCATTTTACATAATGAAAATAGGGTCAATCCATTTCAAGTGGTCCAAAGGGGGTTGCTTCAAGATTTTTAATTTTTTTCATATTTTTATCCATGAAAGTACATATCATTAGAAGTACAAAAATACAATTATTTTATTTTTATTTTATCTTTCTATTGTATGGCGGCCATTTTTGTGTTACTCGAATTCCCGTTTTCAGCGATTCAGAGCTCTGCGTTAAATTAAATATCTCTGGTTCTACTTATCCTAGAACATTAAAATAGAAACCAATCTCTTCAGAAAGATCTAAACTTTAATATGGTAATATAGTTATGCCCTTAAAACTAAATGTATAGGTCTAATTACCGGTTTAAAGTTTAACGCAACGATGTTACGAAAACTGCATTTTAACAATTTTTTTACATAAAGGCAATTGCCCATGTGTTTGTTATTTTTTTATCTGATAGTTATAGGTGTGTACTCCAAATTCTCAAAGTTTCAAGTTGTGGACTTGCATAGGATTTTAAATAAAAATTTTCAAAATCTTAAAATTTTCAAAATTTCAAAAGTTTGATGCTTAATATTGTTGAATGTAATTTTATTTTTATATAATATGTTTGCTGTTACTTGTTCTGTATTTAATTTAATTTATGTTGGTAACAGCTGACCATGTGTAAATAGTTAGGATTGTTTTTATAGTAATGAGAATTGTTGAATAAGTTATGTTTGAGTAAAAATGTTGTGTGTGTGTACTTCAGTAAAATAAAAGATAATTATTGTAACAGTAAAACCTTAGGTGTTAGTAATTTACTTTCACTTAAGTCAACAGGTTATGGGCCCAGAAAAATTCATTAATTCAACCATAACTGTAAAACCAAGAAGTAATCTTCTAGTAAAACCCCAAGAGTTAAAGTGTAGTGAAGGTGAGTGAAATAAAAGTAAGACTAACAATGGCATCAGTAAAAGAAGATGATTTTGTAGAAAAACTCAAAGGAGTTGAAACTTTTCCATTGTGGAAATTTCAGATTAAAATAATATTTCAATCCAGTGAATTGATGAGTATTGTTGATGGTTCTGAGAAACTTGAAGATATGGGCGATGGAAAGAAGAAGGCTGATTGGATTAAAAGAGATGCCAAGGCTCAGAAGTGTATAGTTAGTTCTATTGAGAAGGGACCGATGTTACATATCATTAACTGTGAAAACTCAAGAGAAATGTTTTTGAAGCTGTGTAATATTTATGAAAGAGACTCAGAGCAGCAGAAGTACTCGTTATTACAAGAATTCTTTAACCTCAGGTATGAGCCTAATTCTGATATAAGTTCTCACATAAGTAGAATTGAAAACATAGCACACAGACTAAAAACTTTAAAACAAGATATTGATGACAAAATGATAATATCAAAAATTCTTGTCAGTCTGCCAGATAGATTTAAGTATTTTGTAACTGCCTGGGAATCAATGCCCAATGAAGAAAAGACATTGGCAAATCTAACAGCGAGACTGTTAGCAGAAGAGTCAAGAAGTGAGTTAAAGGAGGTAAGCCTAGAGAAAAATCTTGCGTTCCAAGTTGTTTGTCACAACTGTAAAATTCCAGGCCATAAAGCAAAATACTGCAAGAAACCTACACACAATTGGGCTAACTCTGATAATGAAAGGCGGTGTTTTAAATGCAATGCTGTTGGTCATCTAGCAAACACCTGTGGAAATGTAAAAAATTTTGTTAACAAGTTTGAAAAAAGAAATGTAAAGCCAAATTTATTTTGTAATATATGTAAAAAGTCAAATCATAATGAAAAAGATTGTTACTTTAGAAAAAGCCAGAACCTAAATGTCGCTAGTAAAACTGTGTCTTTTTTGTCGTATGATGATGGACAAAATGTTCGGGGTAATAGTGGGACTGTAAACTTTGTATCTGAATGGGTTGTTGATTCAGGCACATCTTCACATATAACAAATTGTGAAGATTTGTTAAGTAATAAACAAAATTTTTCTTCTGAAATATATGTTGCAAAGAAAAATCAAACCATGTTAGCTTCAACGAGTGGAACTGTAAAATCCAAAGAATGTATCCTGAATAATGTGCTATATGTTCCTGAACTCAGTAAAAACTTGTTGTCTGTTTCTGCAATGACTAATAATGGTGGTGAGGTTACTTTCTCTGAAAATACAACAGAGAATGACAAGAAAGGGGACAAAAATAAAAGTGACAAGAAAGAAGACAAAAATGAAAATGACAAGAAAGAAGACAAAAATGAAAATGACAAGAAAGAAGACAAAACTAAAAATGAAGATAGTGAGAGTGCAGACAAAACTGAAAATGAAGATATTGAGAGTGCAGATAATCTAAGTGAGATAAGTAATAATGAAGTAGAGTTTGAGTTGGTTTCAGACAAAAATGAAATCAATGAAGAACAGCCAAGTTCAAGTAATACTGATACTACACAAAGCATCAAACTAAGAAGAAAAAATAAACTACCTGAAAGATATAAAGATTTTGTGATGTTAACATATGAAGAAGCAATCAAAGGACCAGATAAACAAAATTGGCTTCAAGCAATTGAGGATGAGAAAAACTCCCTTATTGAGAATGAAACGTGGGAAGTGGTTGACAAAAAGCAAGCACTAAACAAGAAGATCCTAAGTAACAAGTGGGTATTAACAAGAAAGGATAACGGAAAATACAAAGCGAGAATAGTTGTAAGAGGTTTTGCCCAAGAAAAAGGTATAGACTATGAAGAAACCTACAGCCAAGTATCAACTTTACGTTTGTTATTTTCATTAGCTGCCAAACAAAATCTCAAATTAATGCAATTTGACGTTAAAACTGCTTTTCTCTATGGAAATTTAGATGAAGAAATTTATATGTGTGTACCTGAAGGGTTTGATCATAAAGATAAAGTTTTGAAATTAAGAAAGACTTTATATGGACTTAAACAAGCTCCATTTAAATGGAACCAGTTGTTTACAAACTGCTTACTAAAATATGGCTTAAAACAAACTCAGTCTGACCGTTGTGTTTTTACAAATGGCAGTATTCATCTTGCTATATTTGTTGATGATGGAATTCTTGCTGGTTCAGATGAAAGAGAGATGAAGAAACTTTTGAACGAGCTGTCTAGAGATTTTAAAATAAAAACAGATGAAAACCCATCAAACTTTCTTGGAATGGAAATTTTATATTCAAGGGAAGGGATCTTGTTAAGACAAAAGAACTATTTAAACAGTATTCTCGAAAAATATGGAATGATAGATTGTAAACCTGTAGACACTCCCATTTGTCCAGTGAAAACGAGCAAACCTGATGAAGAAGTAAGCTGCCTGACAAAAGATTATCCTTACAGAGAAGTTGTAGGAAGTTTGCTGTACTTATCCAATAAAACCAGACCTGATCTTACACTTGCTGTGGGATTAGAAAGTAGATGTGTTGAGAATCCAAGCAATGAAGATGTTGTAAATGTCAAACGAACCTTAAGATATATTAAAGGTACTCAAGACGCAGGAATATTATTTTCAGCATCACGAGAAAATTGCCTAAATGTATATTGTGACGCAGACTATGCAAATTGCAAGCATACAAGAAGAAGTACTACTGGATTTGTCATTATGTATGGAGAAGACCCAATAAGCTGGTGTACAAGAAGACAACTGATTGTAGCTTTGTCCAGCACTGAAGCAGAATACATTGCAGCGGCAGAATGTGTCAAAGAAGTGTTATATTTAAAAATTTTCTTGCAAGAGTTGAGTGGAACTAATGTTGAAACAAACCTAAACATGGACAATCAAAGTGCTATTAAGCTTTGTAAAAATGGAATTTTTAATAAGCGAAGCAAACACATTGATGTTCGCTACCATTTTTTGACTGAAAATGTAAGGCAAGGTAAAATAAACATTTCTTTTGTTTCTACATCCGAGAATGTTGCGGATATGTTTACAAAACCCTTGAACAATGTTAAGTTTCATCAATTTAGCAAAGCTTTGATCAACTATCCAAAATCTTGAACAGAAGACGATAATCGAGATATTTATTTTTGTTTCTTACATAAAATTAAAATTAAGGGAAGGTGTTGAATGTAATTTTATTTTTATATAATATGTTTGCTGTTACTTGTTCTGTATTTAATTTAATTTATGTTGGTAACAGCTGACCATGTGTAAATAGTTAGGATTGTTTTTATAGTAATGAGAATTGTTGAATAAGTTATGTTTGAGTAAAAATGTTGTGTGTGTGTACTTCAGTAAAATAAAAGATAATTATTGTAACAGTAAAACCTTAGGTGTTAGTAATTTACTTTCACTTAAGTCAACAAATATCTCTGTTGGGCATGAAAATAAAAATTTCAAATTTGGCTCAGATATAGTACTAAGTAAGAGTATTATCCTGTAATAATTTTATTTTGTGGACTCAACTGGTTTTAAAGTTAAGGAAACATTGAAAAGTACTAAATAAGCAGTATCGTAATAGCGTAGGGAGCATAATATTATATTATGATACACTATTAATGTATTTTTTAACAATGTTATTTTTTAGTAATAGATTTTAAGCATTTTTTAAAACACTATATTTTGTTGTCTGCCACAGGTACAAATCTGTGAAAGAATTGTGTTCAGGGAATTGGTAAACGTCATTTAGAAGCAAAATTTAAGTTCTAATTCTTTGCTACTGCTTCGCTGTCTACATAAAAGTATTGAATACGGTACCTAAGGTTTTTTCAACAAAAGTTAAACATATCCTTAGCATTGATCATTAAATTGCATTCAGAATTTTGTTGTCAATGGTACATTGTATAGGACTTCGCTCTTTGTAGTGCCTCCTACACCATCCGGAAATATTGACTCCACACTTTAAATCTATAGAGATGGATTTTAAATTAATATTGTTTTGGGTTTCAATTCTATGTGTTTATTTTCAATCTTTTAATACATTTATGTTTATAAGTTTAAATTTAAATTAATACACAAGTCAGCCATGTTATCTTATGGGACAACTGGCACTAAACAACACTACTTGCAACGTTGCAAATTCTACTAGGCCGCGATTTTTTTCCTGAAATATTCAGTCACAGGTAAGGTACTACAATACCAGCTGCAAGGCATTTTTTTGCTACTGTGCACGGAAAAATGCCTGCAATGGTGCAGGAGGCACTACAAAGAGCGAAGTCACTAATAGAGTCTACATTTACCATTGACTTAACCAAATTTTGAATGCTAAGGATATGTTTAACTTTTGTTAAACATACTTTTATGTAGACAGTGAAGAAGTAGCAAAAAATGAATTAGAACTTCAATTTTGATTCAAAGGACGTCTACCAATTCCCTGAACACAATCCTTTCACAGATTTGTACCTGTGGCAGACAACACAATAGAGTGCTTTGGTTATGTACACTGTGACTACGGTGATAGTGCTCGCTCGCCCTGAAGATGGCTGACTGTTATGTGGCCGAAAACTCAGTAGTTTCTGTACATAGTGTGTTTGATGGTGTTGGTTTTCTGGATAGTGTGGACCTAAGGACGCGGTCGAACCCCGAAGACCAAGACTGTATATAAAAGTGACGACCGTGGAAGCCTATCCATTAAGAACAAAATTGAGTGTTTTAAAACATCAAAATTCTTAAAATCTATTATTAAAAAATAACATTGTTAAAAAATACATTAATAGTGTATCATGATATAATATTATGCTCCCTACGCAATTACGGGTATACTGCTTATTTAGTACTTTTAAATGTTTCATAACTTTAAAACCAGTTGAGTCCACAAAATAAAATTATTACAGGATAATACTCTTACTTAGTACTTTATCTATGGGTGTGCGATGCATCGAAAACGCATCAAAATTTTGATTTGATTCGATTCAGCATGCATCGAATCGATGCAACGATTACGTCAACTAATTTAGGACTCCAAAATGAGTTTTAGGTAGGGAAGTGTCAATTATCGCTACCACCGATACTCGGACATTGCCGATACTAGGAATATCGGTATCAAGAATCGATTGCCAAACGTCGATTTTGCCCGATTCCGCCGATACCGACACCCGACAGGGATGGATAGATATTTTATTTTAACATTTATTTATTTGATAGCTATTAGTTTTGTAATCACGCTAACAACTTTAGTAACCAACTTAGCACACTATTTAGTTCAAAACGGCTAAAGTTTAGCTTCAGCTGTTCTCTCTGCGGGCAGATGATGTTGCACAACATAATACAATCTACATTTCAAGATGTCAGTGAGTCAGAATTCAGTCTCAGACAACCGGCGCGCGAGTGTCCTTAACACGAAATTATACTAAAAAATGTCTGTATCAATAAGTCAGACCATTAAATGTGTTATTTTAATTTTTAGAATAAAATAAATAACCTAAACTTGTCTAAATGTTTAGTTTCATCGCTGCATTACGCATCATTAGAAAAATTCGATTCAATTACGACATCGTCGAAGTCAGAGGGTTAGGCTTGCAACTTGCCTATTGCACCAAAAAGAAGATCCATATTATATCTGTACTATCTACCTAGTTTAAGAGTTTAAGTGAAGTTTTAAGTGCTACTATAACAAGAGTATTTATTGAAAAACACCTTACGCATAATCCATGTCGATTTTGTAATATTGTAATGAATGGTGAATGTTGACTATCTAAGATAAATCAAAGTATGTAACAAGAGTTCTCATTGGTCGAGAGGCCACGCTGCACTGTCATGTCAGCCAATCGACGTTCGTGTTTCAATGGAGCAAGTGACGATTACTTTGATGTCGTTATTTGTGTGTGAGTCTATTATTGTGGGAAGGGTTTAGATAAGATACATTGATAAATATCGAGAACCGTTATGTAGGACGTGATTGTTTACTAGGTGTGCAATGCAGTTGTATGCTTGCAATATTGAACGGAGCTAGCATATTAATCCAATACTTTTCTAAAGTAAATTTTACATCTGTTTCGCGTGAATGAGATTAAATACTTGCAGATCCAATGTCAATGGTATATTTGGTTCACTTAAATGGAATGTCTATTTGCAGTATCTATATAATTAATACGCTACATGAAACTTTGTCGGTTGAACTCCTCCGCCATTTCTTAACCGATTTTATCCATTGACATCTCATTGGAAAGAGCGTGTCGCGTAGATTTGCAAACTGACCTTACATTTTTGAAAAAGTCCCTTGGGCTCTGCCCCAGTGGCTTTGAAAGTTCCCATGTTATCCTTATGAAGAACATAATTGTTTACATTTTGGTCAGCTGTTTAATTTAATTGCTGTTATTTATTTTTCAATTCAATGAAACCCATCGAGTACATTTATTTACTATTTGAGTTTGTGTTAACAGAACCTCCAAGACGGATTTTGTTAGTATGGTTGTACAGTATCTTAAATTTCTGTATTTATTTATCGTTGTTTTGTGTAGCTATGACGGATCGTGTTAGCACGATTGTAACATTTATCGTTGTTTTGTGTAGCTATCATTTGTTTATTTGTTGTTTTTTTTTCTTTTATATGCCTCCGACGTGACGACAACAACACATATAGACAGGAGGCGTAATCGTGATAACGACCGCAGCTCACAGAACAGTGGCGAGTATTAGGCTTTACTCATCACAGTCAGCACCTGACCCTGGACAATCTCAACTGTTAGGTTACAAATGCCCCCTAACACTACCCCAAAACGACTTTTCGTTCTCAATTGGCCCTCTATAAATGACCTGTGTTGCCTGTACAGCGAGGCATTTTGAGAAGGAGAAAACCGGCCCGAATGCTTTAGGTTTATCAATAACGAAGATAAACATAGTCTGAGTTACACACCGGTAATCTTTGAGTTGACTCTTTTAAATTCGTTGTAAATATGACTGTTATTCGTTTTGAAATATCTTCTGTAATATTTGCAATTGCTCGAATTCGAGCAACATGTACACTAGTTCCAAGTTAATGATACGAATTGTTTACTTGCAGTATCCAAAGTCAATGATACGTCGGGTTCACGTAAACGAATTGTTTACTTGGAGTATCCAAACTCAATGGTGCATTTGGTTCATGTAAATGAATTGTCTACTTGCAGGATCCAAAGCAGTGGTTCATTCGATTCACATAAATGGAGTGTCTATTTGCAGTATCCAAAGTCAATTGTCAATTGTGGGCCTAGATTTGGTTCACATAAATGGAATGGCTATTTGGATTATTTAAAGTCAATGGTGCATCAGCCTTATCCCGCCGACCATAATTATTGGTATTTCATTTTTTAGTAAATTATACTCAATGATATTAATCCTATTGTTCTTCCCTTTTTCTCTGTACGGTATTTGTAATATGCTATTTAGATGATTCGTTGACTAACATATGTTGCGACTCTTGTTTACCTTTTTATTGTTATCTCGCTATCGCAAATAATGTCATGGCAACCAATTAACCCATAAGGCCCATGTTAAATTTCCAAAAGTTTGAATTCACGTAGAGAAAAACCCTGTGGTCCGATTTGTACAATTTCAGATTTATACCTTCCCATGGTCGGTTACTATGATTGTGCTAAATTTGGTGCAGATCGCTTCAGCCGTTCAGGAGGAGTATTTGTAAAACAAAAGCTGGAGTGTAGTATAAGAGCTTCGCTTCGCTCCGCTGAATAAAGAGTATAAAATTAGGTTTGAGATGAAAAAAAGTTAAAACTAAAATGGTCCGATTTTGATTTCATTTGGTACAAACGTGTAAACCTACATTTATTCAAATGAGTTTGCGAACCAGCATAATCAGACTATGGGAGATATTTTTAAGGAGACTTTTTTAATTGTAAATCCAATCAGGCAAATGGAAATTTGCTAAGACTGCAGGTTTGCTGCGGTGGGGGTATTCTCATTTTTGACCCTAATAACACAAAATTTCTTAATTTCTCTTTAGGCCTTTTTAAGGAGCTTAAAAAACAAATAATTTAGTTTATCAAAGTGTTTTTGTATGGTTATTGGCAACGGAGAAAATTCAAAAATTGTAAATTTAAAATTCCCATGTTATTATGGAGAATATTGTAAAATGTTGTAGTTTGCTTGTTTTATGTATATATATTTTGATCAAACTTTGCAAATTTATTTATTTTATACCAACCTATTAATATTTTCCTAAAAAACACACTTTATTAGGTTCCTTGTATAGCAGGAAACCTAGGTACTCACTAAACCTTATGTTATTTAGGCTAATTGAAAATCAATTCAGACAAATGGAAATTCGCTTAGTCGGCAGGTTTGCTGCGGCGGGGGTATTTTATGTATTAGCTGTTATAAATAAGTAAGTTTTGCGTATTTTAAATGGCAAGTCTTGTCCGGGAAATTAGGAAATTTAAACCTTGAAAACCTGGAGTTGTCCTTGAATTTGATTTTGATGGGTTGGTAGACACCCTGCTACTGTAAATTAATGTAAACATTATGTGCTAATGTGCTTGCAATGAGAAAGAATTGACCTAACCATGTGACTATATCCTGTAATGTTATGGCTACTGATGTAGGCTGAGGAAATACCCAGTTAGGATTGAAATTTTTGAGTTTTTTTTGCTTTTCAGGCTATATTGGCGAGTTTGAAATAGTTGATGACCACAGATCAGGCAAGATAGTAGTACATTTGACAGGACGTCTCAACAAGTGTGGGGTTATCTCTCCACGCTTTGACGTTCCCATCAGACACATTGAGAAGTGGACCAACAACCTGCTACCTTCTAGACAGTTTGGGTAAAGTTTTTTATAAACTAGGCCTAAAAAATGCTATTACACTGTTGAATTGTGTACATTTTTTCTGTTCAACGACCGCTCCAGAATAGGAAGAATAGCAAAAGAGGTTATGTATACAAATTGTATTTCATGGACACAGTTGTATTGAAAGTTTCCCTTAAAAAAAAATATGTTATGTTTCTCAATTTTTGACAACATGCCTATGCTGTAGCCTAATCTTGTCTTGCGCATTTCATGATAGAATTTTGTTAATATTCCGGAAAGGATAACAAAGGATAACAAGACAACAGTTGTCTTGTTATCCTTTTTCGGAATATTAACAAAATTTTTAAATAGGCCTAACCCACTTTTTGTTTGGATTAATCCGTAATAAATGCTGTTGCAACCAGTTTTAATTCCTTAATTCAAGCTATAATTAAAATTAAAAAAACATTTTTTAATTTGGAAAATTCTACTTGCAAAGTCTACATTTTTACCATTTAGACGAAGAATAAGTTCAATCCCTTGTAATCTGAAAAGGAGGGTTTAAGTGAAAAACTCCTTATTGGGTTTGTGTAATTTATTGTTATTTTTCTGTTGGTTTATATAAAAAATCTGAAAGCTTAGTAAAATAATTCCAAAAATGCCTAACAGATTATTCTTAAAAGTTATTACGGCCGTAGTGAGGTAACTAAAATCACTAAAATAAAATGTGCAAAACAACCATCACAAACAAATAATTGTATCAATTAAAATTGCCACCTAACAACTAAACTATCAAACAAACATTTTACTTTTTCAAATGATTGTCAATACAATATTGTTTAAGAAAGAGACAGAGAAGTGTATTTGAAAATAGGGCCCATAGGTACAATGTTCAATCAGCTACGGCTACGATCATATCACACATCGCTCATGCCAACGCGGGTCGTACGAAATCCTCTCGCGGGACGGGTCCAGCTCGCAAGCCATAGTTTGGAGACCCCTTGTGTATAGAGTGACAGAGTGTTTACCAGTTGGGAATTCCGGGTAATTCGGGAAAAGATTGAGAAAAGTCGTGAAAAAGTAATGAATTTCGGCCGAAGGTCGGGAATAATCTAACCCTTAAAAATTAGGAATTCAATTCAATTCAAAACTACTTTATTCATCTCTTGTACAAAATACATTGAACGGAATGAACGGGTCCCAAAACTTAAGAAAATTTTCGAGGTTGTGTAATCCCGATCACTAAGACGGGATTACATTTAATACAGAATTTTCTCGGCACGTGATTTGTTCTAATCGTTAGCAATTTCGCAACGTTGCGAGTGAAGATGATGATGTTTCCGCGATCGTAAAAAATATCGTCACAGATATTGACGATGGTGCCGTGACCGAGGAAGATGTTGACGATGGTGCCGTGACCGAGGAAGATGTTGACGATGGTTCCGTGACCGCAAGACATTTTAACGATTGTGCCGTTGGCCACGGAAGATGTGGACGATGGTTCCGTGACTGCGAGACATGTTGACGATAGTGCCGTGACCGTGGTAGACACCCTGTATGAGGATTAAAACATCCTATTGATATTCTTAGATTAGAGGTGTGGGAGCCGGAGATTTTAAATCGAGTCGAGCTTTTTTTGTATCATTAATTTTTTAATGCAATTTAATGTTATGAGGTAGAGTAAAATATAAAGTTCTAGTTGACAAAAGGATGAAAAGTTGAACTAAGTTTATATTAAACTAGGGGCCTATAGCAGCAATTGCTGCCCTTCACCTCCGTTGTAATTTGTCCTTAACCATTCCAAATGCTGTACACCATTCCTAAATACTCTCCTTCGTAGTCATGGTTCTCATAACACGATACGTTTCAACACTGCAATACCATTCTAACCTTAAAACAGAACATTAAAATCCATAAACAAACAGATACACAGTCTTTACATTAGCTGGTATATTTAAAACAGCTTATAGAAACACTGTCAGGGTGTCTAAAATCCGGGAATTGTACTTAATTTTTTATTGGCCATGAAATGTACGGGAATTGTCCTTAAATGCCAGACTATGTCCTTAACCCTCCGAGTGTCCATAGTTTAGGCCTTAATGTCCGCCTATTTTTGGCGCATTTGCAAGGTTTTATTAAAACGGATCTGAAAAGCTTAAAACAATGTTAATTCTACTGTTCTATATACCATTTTGTTTGGAAAATCATGGGCTTCAATATCATACATAAAACCTAAGGAATATTTGTTTCAAAAAAATTTTTTTAGGTAAAAATAAAAATTATTTTGGAAAAAAAATTGAAAAAAAAAATAAGTTTGCGCTCAATGAAATTGTATAAATTATAGGCCTATAAATATTTGAAAATATCCACTTTGTTCTAAATTTTATGAGGATTACAAATATATAATAATATAAGGAAGTAGATTTGCAAATAAATGAGTTATGGGCAAAAAACAGATTTCAGTACATAGCGTTTAGCTAAGAATGCATAGCCTAACCATAGCTAGGAATCTGGCTGATAATTTACATCAATATCACTACCTCTTCAGGATCATCAACCAGCCCTTCAAAATCACTTAAATCTTCTTATAATGCACCACGTATATCACTACTTTTGATTTTTAACACTAAAACAATGATAAACATAATAAAACACATCAGTCATCGGTCCGAGGTTAACTAACCTGTTTACAAATACGCACGTCAGCTGTCTGCTACAATTACGATCGGCTCGGAGAACATAAAGCGCTTAGAGACAGACCTCTGGAGAAAGCTTAGAATCTAATGAAAAGAACGATACCTAACTCGATCCAGTTCAATCCGATTTTGTCAGTCATAGAGCCTTCGCCGTAAACAGTGTTCGTGAGTCGCTGCATGACACTCGGAGGGTTAAATTTTTAATGGGCCATAATTTTATCGTTAGGAGCACATAAAAGGTCTATCAGATGTTTGTGTACATTTTCATAATTTATTACTAGAGTAATTATGCAATAAAAACCCCATTAGCAGTCTCAAACCCATTAATATTTTATCACGACAATCAAGTGTCAAGTCAAGCAAGTACTTCCAAGAATTGTTGACTCAGTAGCTTAGCTCATAAAAGTTGTATCACTTTTCAGGGTGTCTAGTAGTCGGGAAAATCGGGAAAGTCGGGAATTAGTATTGAATTTCAAAATGGTCTTGGAAAGTCGGGATTTAGTCTTAAATTTGATTTCAAAGTCGGGAATTTTTATGATTTTGCCGCGATCGTCGTCTTCCGTTTACGTAACGCGAAAGCCAATGATGATTGTCCTCACGTCCTCAGGAAATGTTCACGATTTGCCGCGATCGCGGACGTCAACGATGACGTTTCCGTGACCGCGGGAGGCGACGATGATGTCTACACGGCCGCAGGAAATGTTCATGATTTTGCCGCGATAGTGGACGACGACGATGACGTTTCCGAAACCACGGGAGACGACGATGACCTTTCCGTGACCGCTGGGGACGACGATAACGTTACCGTGACCGCGGGAGACGACGATAACGTTTCCGTGACCGTGGGAGAAGACGATGAATTTTCCGTGACCGCAGGAGACGACGATGATGTATACACGGCCGCGGGAAATGTTCATGATTTTGTCGCGATCGCGGACGACGACGATGACGTTTCCGTGACCGCGGGAGACGACGATGATGTCTACACGGCCGCGGGAAATGTTCATGATTTTGTCGCGATCGCGGACGACGACGATGACGTTTCCGTGACCGCGGGAGATGACGATAACATTTTCGTTACCTCGGGAGATGACGGTGATGTCTAAACAGCCGCGGGAAATGTTCGTGATTTTGTCGCGATCGCGGACGACGACGATCACGTTTCCGTGACCGCGGGAGATGACGATGACGTTTCCGTGACCGCGGGAGATGACGATGACGTTTCCGTGACCGCGGGTCTACACGGCCGCGGGAAATGTTCATGATTTTGCCGTGATTACGGACGTCGACGATAATGTTTCCGTGACCGCGGAAGATGACGATGATGTTTCCGTGACCGCGGGAGATGACGATGACGTTTCCGTGACCGCGGGTCTACACGGCCGCGGGAAATGTTCATGATTTTGCCGTGATTACGGACGTCGACGATAACGTTTCCGTTACCGCGGAAGATGACGATGATGTTTCTGTGACCACGGGAGATGACGATGACGTTTCCGTGACCGCAGGAGACGACGATGATATCTGCTAGGCCGCGGGAAATGTTCATGATTTTGTCGCGATCGCGGACGATGACGATGACGTTTCCGTGACCGCGGGAGATGACGATGACGTTTCCGTGACCGCGGGTCTACACGGCCGCGGGAATTTATGATTTTGCCGTGATTGCGGACGTCGACGATAACGTTTCCGTGACCGCTGGAGATGATGATGAAGTTTCCGTGACCGCTGGAGACGAAGATGATGTATACACGGCCGCGGGAAATGTTCATGATTTTGCCGTGATCGTGGACGACGACGATCACGTTTTGTAACCGCTGCAGTCAATGATGATGTCTAAACGTTTGGTACGCGGAAGATTTCATGATCAAAATAAACCAAATTTCCTAGTTAGAATTTTTTATTGCTGCATTATTTCTTTACTTGAAAACTCCACATTATCATAATGCTACTTTATGACAAAGACAAAGAGTTGGTGTAGGATTATTTAGGAAATTTGGTTAAGCTATAAAAATTGGTATCGGTATCAAGAATCGAGAATCGATACATTTTGGTATCAACACCCACTAATTGTGGAAAAAACTAGTCTTGAAAAATCTGGAATTAGTCTTGAAAAGTCTGGAATTAGTCTTGAATTTTATAATGGAAATAAACTAGACACCCTGCTTTTATTCCTTTACAACTTCTTTATTTATTTATTACTAGGGTAATCAAATCATAATTAGATCCCAAACATATTTTATCATGGAAATAATAGTTTTATATAAATTTCACTTCTTACTTGTACTTCCCCTGGCCATTGCCCTAGTGCCATAAAACTGATTGTGGTTTCATTAAACA